TAGTGACACTGCCTCGGAAACCCAAGGAGGGATCACTATGAGTCAGGTCCGTCTCAATGGCCCATAGCAACAACAACAATAGCAAAATAAAATTTCTGTTGATACTATTGATACTTTCTTTTCCCTTACATTTCTGGTTTTCAATATGTATAAATAAATCCTTCCTGGGCCCCTTGTTGGGATTCACTTCTGGTATCTTTCAGTCTAGAGTGTACTGATGCCTAATAAGTTATTCGGGAAATTAAACTCTGTGCTTTAGATATCTGATCTAGGATGAACTCATTTTATGATAACATTACAATGGGTTTATGATGTTAAATATAAATGCTGAGTGTTTTCATGAAAATTATTAAATATATCAACTCTAAACAAACAGTAGTTTCAAATAATTTAAAGATCAAACTATACATCTTTATCCAAAGCTTCCTCTGAACTTCAGTGTGAACTTACTCATTACATTTTTTGGGTAAGATGCCTTAGCCAGTTAACTGTGGAAGGCATCACTGAACACTGTTGGCATATTAATAGCTTGGATAGTTAACATATTCCTCAAGAAGAATAGTGATGTACAGCTTAATACATGTAGAAGCTAAATATGAACAGTCTGTGAAGTAAGGCGATTAAAACTTTTCTTATTGGAATGAAGGTTAAAAATGCACAATTTGCATGTATCAGTATAGAAGTTATTCTGCCAAATTAATTGAAGCATTCATTATTACTTTTTTTTTTTTTGCTTGCACAGACATGATAGACTTCAAATTATTAGTTTTGTAATTTACATTGGTTAGATTGTCTAAATTTATGTTATTCCCTAGAAGTTAAGTAGGTATTTCTAAAGTTTTATTATTAAGACTTTCTGATTAGTGAAAAATTATTTGGCACCACCGTTTTAGTATTAGCCATTGAAAGTAAATAGCAGTAATGTTGTTAGTGGCCACTGAGTTGATTCTGACTCATGGTGACCCTATGTGTGCAAGGCAGAAATGCTCTAGAGGATTTTCAAGGATGTGACCTTTTAGAAGCAAATTACCAGGCCTATCTTCTAAGGGGCTCTGGTGGCACAATACCTAAGGCATTTGAGTGCTAACCAGAAGGTTGGCGGTTCAAACCCACTAGCTACTGTGTGGAAGGAAGACTGGGCAATCTACTTCCATAAAGATTTACTATTTCGGAAACCCGGTGGGCGTTGCTGTGAGTCTGAATCGACTCCATAGCAGTGGGTTTGCTTTTTTGTTTTGTCTTCTGAGGTGCCTCTGGGTAGATTCGAACTGCTAACCATTCAGGTCTTAGTAGAATATGTAACTGTTTGTGCTACCCAGAGACTCCTAATAGCATTAATGATGATTACTGTTTGTTGAGTATCAGGTGCTGTGCTAATTGATGCATATGCATTTCATTTTAATCTTCTTGGCAAATGTAGGAGGAAGATATTGTCATTCTTTATAGATGAGGAAAAGGGAAGATTAAGTAATTTATCAAAGATTGCAGTTTATCTTGTAGAGTTTAATTTAAAACCAGGACTATTTAACTCTTAGTCTTTCTTTTTTAGCCATCACACCAAACTGTATTTTAAAAATCTACAGTGGAAAGAAGTTTACTGACTAGTGACCTTTTAGAGATATCCAAAAGATTCTTTCCTTGAGTACCTTAGATGTTTAGAAGTTTCAGAGTATACATTGAGTAAACATTGCGTATCATACGGCAGATACTCTGATGATGTGGATGTGCATGCTAAGAAGAAAGTTACAGATTTGTTTTCTACGAGATGAAGTCAGAGAAGAGCAGCCTTTGTGATAGATGGTGAGCTTAGTACTCTATTGGATGTGTGCAGGAATCATCGAGAAGTGCAGAAATGGGACATACCATTAAGCCTGGGAATTAGAAACACTTTCATGTACCAAAAAAAATCAAAACAAAACAAAACAAAACGAAACCTGTTGCTGTTGAGTTGATTTTGACTCATAGTGACCCTAGAAGACAGAGTAGAACTGGCCCATAGAGTTTTCAATGCTATATATCTTTTAAGGAAGCAGACTACCACATCTTTCTCCCATGGAGTGGCTGGTGGGTATGAACCATATACCTTTCACTTGGTAATGGAGCATTTTAACCACTGAGCCACCATGATTTCTACTTTCATGTACAGAGTAATAAATGAATACATTTTCCTTCATGAAATTTAAAGCATTAATGATAGAGTCTTGGACTTTTCCACCATCTCTTGAAAAGTAATTATATTTTGATGTATGTATATTTCAGGTCCTTTTTTTCTATGTATTTATGTGCCTATTTATGCACCCTTATAAAAGTACATACTGTTATTTGTGTACAAGCTCTGGTGGCGTGGTGCCTAAGGCATTTCACTGCTAACTAGAAGGCTGGCAGTTCAAATCCACCAGCCACTCCTCAGAAGGAGATTGGGCAATCTACTTCTGTAGTGATACCACCTCAGAAACCCAAGGAAGAGGAGTCTCTGTAAGTCTAGTCGACTCAATGGCAGTGAATTTGTTTTGGAGTTTCAAAAATCATTGTATGAAATTGTGGAGCCAGGTCTTAAAGGACTTGGTCTTGAGCCAAGTCTTAAAGTACCAGTTGGCTCCAAATTGAGTGGATAAGTTAAGGAAGGTCCTTCATGTTTAAACACTGACAGTACTCCACTATTTCCATCACCTTTTACATCCTACTATACAACTTTCTTTCCAGAAGGAAAGTTGTCCATTGGTTGTTTCACATAGTTGAGCAGGTACTATGGAGAACCTTGTGTGACTTTCTGAGGAGTCTACCTTTCTTCTGGATGCAGAGGGCTTTAAACCAGCAGATGAGGGGCAACAGACCTATGTTTTAGGAAAAGCAATAAACAGTAGCAAAATAATTTAATGAAGCTTCTAACCATTTTACACACATGCATACACACACATACACATACAAAGTAATCTGCTGTTATTTTTCAAAGCTTATGGAAAAAATTCCATTCACCATAAAAATGTATGAGGTATTAGATTTGAAACTCTGTATCTTAATTTGTACTGGGTCTAATTTAGTGCCATGCACCAAAGTTAAATGATTTATTTTTATTTTTATTTTAGTATAGTGAATTAGTTGCCCATGTAACTTAATAGCTTGAATAGAATAAAAAAAATGGTAATTGACCCCTAATCTCACCACCCTTACATATGAACTAGTTCCATTTTTCTTGGCTCTGTATATGTAGTTTTACTAATTTACTTTGGAGTCACTGCAGAGAGGAAAAAGACAGTGGATAGAGGTGGAAGGGTAGCTATTACAGAATATGTTGAATAGCTAGTAAAGAGGAAACTCATTATACCAAAGTTGATTAGACTGGGCAATAGAAGTTCTTGGTTTTCATTCTTGCTCTACTGCTAATTGGCTCAGGTAATTACATTAATTTCTACATTTAAATGGCATCATGTAAAGAAAGTGGATTGTCTTAGACTGGGTTCTCTAGTCCAACAAAACCAATGAAGCATGT